AATATTACAGAAATTGAGATGATTTTGACTGGTTTTACAATGAAAAGTACCTTGAAATTGAGCTCAAAGTAGCAGAAATGTTCGATATTTACCAAAGTTCAAAAGTAAACAAATCATGCTAAGCGTCCAATACACGTCAACTGATGAGTCTAATATTCTTTCACAAGTGCGCCAATATTACTTATACCATTTCTACACTAATGCAGTAGTCTACATAACAGTAAATTTTCTATTTTTTGTGAGAATATAAGTTCAAAATGGAAAGCAAAAGAATGTAAAAGGGGCATGAGGATGTGATTAATTAACAGAGGAAATATTATTTTAGTGCCGGAATGTCTTTCTTGTTTATTCTGGACTCTATTTGGAAATTGGCATCTTTTGAAATTTGTGTGAAATTGGCAAAATTGCTAAATTCTGACCACTGTATTGGATAGTTGAAATTGGTAAGTGGGTGGTTTCTTGTAGTCATTCGATAGAAAAAATGGAGTTCTAGCAAAATAGGTATGATTTTTGTCGACTAGTACACTGGAATTGGCTGAAAATAGGGCTCGAAGTGGGCAAAATCACCGATGCGTAAACATCGTCGAGACCACTACCTTCGCGAGAGCATAATTCCATAAGTTTTCCACCAAATTTCATAATGAACTTTTGGTGTCATTATGATCGGGAAAAGACACACTATCTTTTCATAAGAATTTTTTTTTTTTTTTTTTAAATTTGGGGTACCCTGAGAACAAGTCTCTGAGAGGGCCTGTGGACCCCTGAAAGGGTTAAATTCCATGGTGTTTCTCACTTTCTTTACCACTGGCACTTTACCAGGAACTTTCTTTGGAGCCTTGGTTACTTATTTCTCAGTTGCACTGCAAAAAAAAAAAAAAAAAAAAAAAAATATAAAACAAGTGCAATGTTTGGATATATGAGCAGAAGCTTCCTCATGCACCAAAAGACACAGCCAGACTGACGCACAAGCGGCCCCAGCCGGCGGATGGACGCGTCCGAAATGGCAGATCACAGAAATAGCGGCCGATCGCTGGGAGCAGGAAAACCGGCTGATCACTGAGTTGGCCAGTAACAGGAACGACCGATAACCGAGGGTCCGCTGTAATAACAATGTTTGTGTGGTTATTGTGTTGCATACAATGAGTGGATATATATACAGTGGACCCTCAACTAACAATATTAATCCATTCCAGAGAGCTCATCGTTAGACAAAATTATCGTTAATTGAATTAATTTTCCCCATAAGAAATAATGGTAATTCAAGTAATCCGTTCCAGACACCCAAAAGTATGAAAAAAATATTCTTACCACAGGAAATATACATTTTCCTACACAGAAAGAGAAGGATTGATGCACTATATACGTACTGTACTAAATGAAGAATAAATGACACCTATATTGAAGATGTAGTGATGAGTGATGGGATGGGAGGAGAGAAGATAGAGGTTTATTATTTTTTGGAAGGGGAATCCTCTTCCAAAAGGACTTTAGGTAGCAAGTCCTTTTCTGGGGTTACTTCCCTTCTTTGTTTTTTAATGCCACTGGGAACAACTTGAGAGTGACTGGACCTCTGTTGCACCAAAAATTTGTCCATAGAGCTCTGTACCTCGCATTCCTTTTAAGATTTTCCTAAAGTGGGTCACAACATTGTCAGTGTAAAAGCCACCAGCATGGCTTGCAATAGCTTTTTCAAGGTGATTTTCTTTCATAAAGGTTTGCACGTCAACCCACTTTGCACAAATTTCCTTAATCATTGAAGAAGACAATTTCATCAAATTTTCTCTCCCCTCCTCTGAAGCAATTTCCTCAGTTGTGGCCTCTTGCTGTTGCAGATGCTCTTGCAGCTCATCAGTGGTTAGTTCTTTATCGTCGTCCTCCACCAACTCTTCCACATCCTCCCCACTAGCCTCCAACCCCAAGGACATCCCCGATGCCACAATAGATTCCACAACTGGCATAGGCTTCTCAGGGTTAGCCCCAAACCCTTCAAAATCCCTCTCTTGTACACATTCTGGCCACAATTTCTTCCAAGCAGAGTTCAAGGTCCTGTTAGTCACTCCCTCCCAAGCCTTACCTAAAAGGTTTATGCAATTGAGGATACTAAAGTGATCTTTCCAAAACTCTCTTAGGGTCAGTTGAGTGTCTGAGGTCACTTCAAAGCACTTTTGAAACATTGCTTTGGTGTACAGTTTTTTGAAATGTGAAATGACCTGCTGGTCCATGAGCTGGAGGAGAGGAGTGGTATTAGGAGGCAAGAATTTCACTTAGATAAAACTCAACTCCCCTGAAATTCACTCTGGCAAGTCTGAAGGATGAGCAGGAGCACTGTCTAATACCAGGAGGCACTTAAGGTCCAATTTATTTTACAGGAGGTAATTTTTCACAGTGGGGCCAAACACATGATAAAACCAGTCATAGAAAATGTCCCTAGTGACCCATGCCTTACTGTTTGCCCTCCACATCACACACAAATTAGCCTTGACAACATTGTTTTTCCTGAACACTCTGGGAGTTTGAGTGATACATGAGTAGAGGCTTCACTTTGCAATCCCCATTAGCATTACTACACAACATGAGCATTACCCTGTCTTTCATAGGCTTGTGTCCTGGCAGTGCTTTTTCCTCCTGTGTAATGTAGGTCCTGTTTGGCATTTTCTTCCAAAACAAGCCTGTTTTGTCACAATTAAACACTTGGGGATGCAATCCTTCAGCCTCTATGTACCCCTGGAATTCCTGCACATATTTTTCAGGCACTTTTTGGTCCGAATTAGCAGCCTCACTATGCCTTACCACACTGTATGCCACTATGAATCTTAAATCTCTCAAACCAACCTTTGCTGGCCTTAAATTCAATAACATCACTAGTTGCAGGCCTTTGTTTAACTAAATCGTCTTGCAACTGCCTTGCCTTTTCACATATGATCGCTGGAGAGATACTATCTCCTGATATCAGTTTTTCGTTTACCCACACCAATAACATTCTCTCAGCACCTTCAAGTACTTGCGATCTGTGTTTCGAAAAGATACTTGCATCTTTCGCAACAACAGCTTCCTTGATTGTCTTTTTGTTGGTCAAGATAGTAGTAATGGTTGATTGGGGTTTGTTGTACAACCTGGCCAGCTCAGAGACACGCACTCCACTTTCATACTTTGTTAATATCTCATTCTTCATTTCAGTTGTAATTCTCACCCTTTTTACCACAGGGTTGGCACTAGAAGCTTTCTTTGGGCCCATGGTTGCTTATTTAGCAGTTACAAGCACTAAAAACACTGGAATAATACAAAATGCACCGAATATTTGTGTGGGAGCGACCGCACTTGCTTGTAAACATTGGCACACTAACTGAAGGTAGGGCAGCTGAGGCGCGCTCAGGCCAGACAGGATGTGTGGATGCGTTCAGGACGAATGGTGTAAGTCGAGTTTTTCTTCATAGGTCAGGGAAAATTTTTTACTCTGAAACACTTCGTTTGTCGATTTTATGGTTAGATGATGCCTTCGTTAGTTGAGGGTCCACTGTACATTATGCATTATATTGGTCTCACAGGCCACAAAAGTTACTTGGAAAAATAAAATGTTAGAAAAGAAAAGAAAAAAATTGAATGAAAGTAAAAATAATATTACTGAGTGAGCAATAGTCGCCAATGTTACCATAAGCAGTTCATTTTTGTCAGCTTCATGCTTCTATATCTCGGTAAGTACTGACTGCAATTTTTTTTCTTTCAAAACTATCAGAAAAAAATTCTTGAAATTTTGGTAAGAAATTTTTTTTTTTTTTTTTTTTTTTTTTCAAATATTTTTCTACACTTAGAGCAGGTTTGTGATCAGAGGTCTTGACAGTGAAAGGGTTAAATAATTTTTGCTTAGGTATGGAAAGAATGATGTACTTAAAAGGAACACTGTATACAAAACTCAAGCAGCTCACCAAATACAGTATGTAGAGTTAAAGGAACATATGAAAGACTTGGGAATAATTATGTCACTTGACCTTTCTTTCAAAGAACATAATAAGACAAAGATCATGGCAGCCAGGAGGATGACAGAGTGGATATTGAGAATCTTCAAAACAAGGGAAATAATGATAGTGGTGACACTTTTCAAATCGCTAGCTCTCCCTCGTTTGGAATGTTGTTCAGTATTGTTGGCTCTGTTCAAGGCAGGAGAGATATCAGAGCTTGAACAAATACAGAGATTGTTTATGGCCCACATAGATCCAGTAAAGCATTTAAATTACTAGGAATGCCTGAGTCTTGAACATGTACTCATTGTAGCAGAGGAGAGAGAGATACACAAATATCCCGCACATAGAAGAGAGGAGCTTACGACGATGTTTCGGTCCGATTTGGACCATTTACAAACTCCAGGTCGGACCGAAATGTCGTAGTAAGCTCCTCTCTTCTATGTGCGGGTTATTTGTGTATTGTTCCAGTCACAGTATTGTGCCTTTTTGTTATTTATGAAAGAGATATACATGATAAAATATTCCTGGAAAGTACTTGAGGGCCTGGTCCCAAATCTGCACACTGCTGTATCAACATACCAGTACTAGAGATATGGAAGGAAGTGCAAAATAAACCCAGTGAAAAGCAGGGGTGCAGTGCACCCAATAAGGGAACACGGTATCAACATTCGTGGCCCCAGATTATTCAACATATTACCAGAAGATATCAGAAACACTGCTGGAACAAGTGTAGAAGTCTTAAAGAGAAAACTGGACAAGTATCTTGACCAGGTGCCAGACCAACCAGGCTGTGATGGATATGTGGGAAGTGCACCTCCAGCAGCAACAGCCTGGTTGACTAGGCTAGCACCAGACTAGCCTGGCCCATGGCCGAGCTCCGAGAGTAACAAGACTCTCAAAACTCATCAAAGGTATATCAAAGGTACAAAGGAGTCATCCACTCTTGCGGCACTACTGCCACACCATTGACAAGTTAGTTTGTTTTTATTTCCTCGCTGATTGTATCCCAAATTTTTGTATTCTTATGATTTTTTTTCACAGATGGACGGAGAATGGAACTAGGAGCTAACTGGATACATGGTATCTTGGGTAATCCAATCTATGAGCTAGCCTCCTCACATGGACTTGTCAACATCATCCAAGAAAATAAACCACACAATGTTGTAGCCACACTTCCTGATGGCAAAAGAGTACCATTCCAGATATTGGAGGTAATACCCATTTGTAAAGTAGTTCTTGTTAATATTTTGCTACTTGAATTGTATTAGATTCCTTTCATATAATGCTGTTGTCATTAATTAAAGTACTCCTTCTACAGCATATCTAACATACTTTTCCAAATACAGTATGGCAGGTTAGGTTCCAGGCAACCACCATAAACTTGAATGCCATTTTTCCACTTATAATTTTACTAAATAAAGATAAAATTTACGTTTAAAAATGGTGAATCACCTCCACCGATTACGACCTGCTTATTAACCACTCGACTTACCCGTGTTTTTTATGCCAAATTTCTGGGAAATAAACAACTATTTGTGTTGTACACAGTGTTTATCCTAAACCTTACAGTATAAAATACAGTACTAACAACATAAAAAGTAAAGTAAAACATGAAATACCAAAATAAAACAATAAAATAAAGTCATTACAAAAATGTTTTGTTGATATTTAGTAGTAAAGTTTTTGACTTACGACCTTCGATTAGCCGGTTTTTTCGGAAAACCCAAATCGGTCGTAAGTCCGATAGTAGGTGTATACATTTGCTAAATTTAAATCCAAAGACCTTGAAAAACTTTTAACAGTTGGACCAATTTATATAATACCTCGCTTAAATATTTACTCATTTAGTGAAAAACTAAGAAACATGGTAACTATTGCAGAGATGAACAAACACCACCTGATACTCAAAGGAGACTTCAACATAAATCTCATCCATGGCCATGACCCACTAGTAACTGAATTCACAAACACTGTGAACAGCTGCTTACTTCTCCCAACAATAACAAAACCTACAACAATCTCTGAGACAAATGCCTCGTTACTAGACCATATCTGGACAAACACTTTATCCCCATTAAAAGCAGGCATAATCACAGATAACACCACTGATCACTATCCCACCTTTCTCATAACCAACTTAGGTAAATTCCCCCAGGACACAACTAAGATCACCTTCCGACTACATGACGAGTCATCTGTTAATGTTGACTGGCAAAACGAGCTAGCAGACAACTTTGATATTGATGAATATGTTAACATTTTTTTTACTAAAAGCCCAAAACCTCTATAACATTCATTGCCCAACAAAAGCTAAGCAGATCACAGCAAAGAGACTAAACAGCCCCTGGCTTACAAACAGCATCCTCAAATCTATTGATAAAAAAACATCTATATGAAAAACAGCACACACCGGGTCTAATAACAAAGAACCTTGCAAAACATTACTCGTCAGTACTAACCAATCTAATAAGAAGGTTAAAAAAACTGTATTATGAAAACAGATTTCATGACATAAAGGTGATATGAAAAAGACCTGGAAAACCTTATCTGAAATTCTAGGATCTAAAAAGCTGTCACAAAACAGAATGATTAACTTATCTAAACCAGAAGACCCACTCCTTCAGCCAGTCGATACTGCCAACAAACTTAATGTCTTTTTCTTGACCGTAGGAACAAAGCTAGCAAGTAAAATCCCAAACTCAAGCATTTGACCAAAAGACTACCTCACTGGCAACTACCCAAATACTCTATTTTTAACCCCACCCCAACAAACCCTACTGAAATCTCGCTTATCATCAAAACACTAAAGAACGAGGCAGGAGACCTGAATAACTTACCACCACTCGTGTATAAAAAAGCTTCTCATATTTTTCACCAATTTTGAACCCCTTTTTTTAACAAATTCATTGAATCTTCCATCTTTCCATCCATACTCAAGACAGCAAGGGTCACCCCGATCCTCAAAGGAGGTGATCCAGCTGAATTGAACAACTATAGGCCTATATCAAACTTGCCCCTTCTATCTAAAATCTTTGAAAAATTAATTCACAAACAAGTCTACTTCTACGTATCGCATAACATACTCAACCCCTGTCAGTTTGGGTTCAAACTGAAAAAAAGTACTAATGATGCTATTATACATATTTTTTTTTTTTTTATTATCACACTGGCCGATTCCCACCAAGGCAGGGTGGTCCGAAAAAGAAAAAGTTTCACCATCATTCACTCCATCACTGTCTTGCCAGAAGGGTGCTTTACACTACAGTTTTTAAACTGCAACATTAACACCCCTCCTTCAGAGTGCAGGCATTGTACTTCCCATCTCCAGGACTCAAGTCCGGCCTTCCGGTTTCCCTGAACCCCTTCATAAATGTTACTTTGCTCACACTCCAACAGCACGTCAAGTATTAAAAACCATTTGTCTCCATTCACTCCTATCAAACACGCTCACGCATGCCTGCTGGAAGTCCAAGCCCCTCACACACAAAACCTCCTTTACCCCCTCCCTCCAACCTTTCCTAGGCCGACCCCCTACCCCGCCTTCCTTCCACTACAGACTGATACACTCTTGAAGTCACTCTGTTTCGCTCCATTCTCTCTACATGTCCGAACCACCTCAACAACCCTTCCTCAGCCCTCTGGACAACAGTTTTGGTAATCCCGCACCTCCTCCTAACTTCCAAACTACGAATTCTCTGCATTATATTCACACCACACATTGCCCTCAGACATGACATCTCCACTGCCTCCAGCCTTCTCCTTGCTGCAACATTCATCATCCATGCTTCACACCCATATAAGAGCGTTGGTAAAAACTATACTCTCATACATTCCCCTCTTTGCCTCCAAGGACAAAGTTCTTTGTCTCCACAGACTCCTAAGTGCACCACTCACCCCTTTCCCCTCATCAATTCTATGATTCACTTCATCTTTCATAGACCCATCCACTGACACGTCCATTCCCAAATATCTGAATACATTCACCTCCTCCATACTCTCTCCCTCCAATCTGATATCCAATCTTTCATCACCTAATCTTTTGTTATCCTCATAACCTTACTCTTTCCTGTATTCACTTTTAATTTTCTTCTTTTGCACACCCTACCAAATTCATCCACCAATCTCTGCAACTTCTCTTCAGAATCTCCCAAGAGCTCAGTGTCATCAGCAAAGAGCAACTGTGACAACTCCCACTTTGTGTGATTCTTTATCTTTTAACTCCACGCCTTTTGCCAAGACCCTCGCATTTACTTCTCTTACAACCCCATCTATAAATATATTAAACAACCATGGTGACATCACACATCCTTGTCTAAGGCCTACTTTTACTGGGAAATAATTTCCCTCTTTCCTTCATACTCTAACTTGAGCCTCACTATCCTCGTAAAAACTCTTCACTGCTTTCAGTAACCTACCTCCTACACCATACACCTGCAACATCTGCCACATTGCCCCCCTATCCACCCTGTCATATTCCTTTTCCAAATCCATAAATGCCACAAAGACCTCTTTAGCCTTATCTAAATACTGTTCACGATATGTTTCACTGTAAACACCTGGTCCACACACCCCCTACCTTTCCTAAAGCCTCCTTGTTCATCTGCTATCCTATTCTCTGTCTTACTCTAATTCTTTCAATAATAACTCTACCATACACTTACCAGGTATACTCAACAGACTTATCCCCCTATAATTTTGCACTCTCTTTTGTCCCCTTTGCCTTTATACAAAGGAACTATGCATGCCCCTGCCAATCCCTAGGTACCTTACCCTCTTCCATACATTTCTTAAATAATTGCACCAAACCACTCCAAAACTATATCCCACCTGCATTTTAACATTTCTATCTTTATCCCATCAATCCCGGCTGCCTTACCCCCTTTCATTTTACCTACTGCCTCACGAACTTCCCCCACACTCGCAACTGGCTCTTCCTCACTCCTACAAGATGTTATTCCTCCTTGCCCTATACACGAAATCACAGCTTCCCTATCTTCATCAACATTTAACAATTCCTCAAAATATCCCTCCATCTTCCCAAATACCTCTAACTCTCCGTTTAATAACTCTCCTCTTCTATTTTTAACTGACAAATCCATTTGTTCTCTAGGCTTCCTTAACTTGTTAATCTCACTCCAAAACTTTTTCTTATTTTCAACAAAATTTGTTAACATCTCGCCCACTCTCTCATTTGCTCTCTTTTTACATTGCTTCACCACTCTCTTAACCCCTCTCTCTTTCTCCATATACTCTTCCCTCCTTGCATCACTTCTACTTTGTAAAAACTTCTCATATGCTAACTTTTTCTCCCTTACTGCTCTCTTTACATCATCATTCCACCAATCGCTCCTCTTCCCTCCCGCACCCACTTTCCTGTAACCACAAACTTCTGCTGAACACTCTAACACTACATTTTTAAACCTACCCCATACCTCTTCGACCCCATTGCCTATGCTCTCATTAGCCCATCTATCCTCCAATAGCTGTTTATATCTTACCCTAACTGCCTCCTCTTTTAGTTTATAAACCTTCACCTCTCTCTTCCCTGATGCTTCTATTCTCTTTGTACCCCATCTACCTTTTGCTCTCAGTGTAGCTACGACTAGAAAGTGATCTAATATATCTGTGGCTCCTCTATAAACATGTACATCCTGAAGTCTACTCAACAGTCTTTTATGTTTGAACTAATATATTTTACACTCGAATAAAATGAATTTTCCCTGGAACTTTTCATAGACTTACGAAAAGCTTTTGAAACAGTTGGCCATGACCTTTTGCACCTAAAACTCAAACATTACAGAGGACACTCTCTCGATTACCTAAAATCTTAGCATAGAACCCAGTGTGTATACACAAATGGAGCCAGCTCCACTACACACCCTGTTCCTAACCATACCACGGGTGGGGTTTGAGCCCGTGGTCAGAGAGTCTCAAAACTCCAGACCGTCGCATTAGCCACTGAGTCGTGTTGACGGCTTTGAGGGGACTTGAGCTAGAGTTCGTCACGGCCATGCTAGTGGGAGATTCATCTGTAAAAACTTGCATTTGTGGTCACAGTGGTGCCTATGCTAACCTTCCTATGGTGTAGAAATATACCTAGTTGGATGAATCTTATTGAAGGTAGCTGGCCCAGTGGCTAATGTGTTGGTCTGGAGTTTTGAGACTCTGACCATGGGTTCAAACCCCATCCATGGTATGGTTTGTTTGCAAT